CTGATGTACAATACAGGGTTACCTCTGGTCCCCCTATTGATTTAAAGTGTAATATTAAGTGTCCTCAGGTCCCCTACTGATGTACAATTAAAGGTGACCTCTGGTCCCCCATATTGAGCTAAAGTGTAATATTAGGTGTCCTCTGGTCCCCTACTGATGTTCAATATAAGGTTACCACAGGTCCCCCTACTGATGTACTATATAAGGTTTCCTCTGGTCCCCCTACCGATGTACAATATAAGAGGTCCTCTGGGTCCCCTACTGATGTACAAATAAGATGATTACTGGTCTCCCTACTGATTAAGAGTATAAGATAACTTTTGATCCCCCTTCTTATGTAAAGTGCATTATAAGGTTTCCTCTGGTCCCCCTACTTATGTACAATATAAGGTATCCTATGGTCCCTCTACTGATATACAATATAAGGTTACCTCTAGAGTACCCCTACTGATGTACAAAATAAGATGGCCTCTGGTCCCCCATATGATGTAGAAAAGAAGATAACATCTGGTCTCCCTTTTTAATGTACAATATTAAGGTAACTTGGTCGACCTAAAGATGTACGATATAAAGTGACCTCTGGTCTTATTATCTTTTTATCACCTCCGATATTCGCATAAAGATTATATGGAAACAAGCGGAAGTCTTATATTGTCCATCAATAAGGATTTCATACTTCGTAAATTGTAGTATATGAATGAGACAACTGTAATCTTATGTTGTACATTATTACGATGTTATTGAAAGTTGTAAGTAGGCAATATTTTAAAATCATGGTATGTGTAGAATTATTTTTCAAATCCTCTCAAAAAAAAAGAATTGCGACCCTGATTTTTGACCGAGGGAAAAGTGCACAATTTCTCCGAATTCTCAAAATGTACATGTTTATGTAATTGGAATTTGGAGGACTAGTCAACTTGCTCGTCTTCAAATACAGTATATGTATCCCAAAGTTAAATAACAATTGGTTCATTTTTTAAATTTTATTCCTTTTTAGCTCACCTGAGCTGAAAGCTCAAGTGAGCTTTTATGATCACATTTTGTCCGGCGTCCGTCTGTCTGTCCGTCTGTCTGTAAACTTTTCACATTTTCATCTTCTTCTCAGGGCCAACAACCAAACTTGCCACAAAGCATCCTTGGGTTAAGGGGATTCAAGTTTGTTCAAATGAAGGGCCACGCCCTAATTCAAGGGGAGATAATTGGGAATTAATGGAAATTTGGTGGTATCTTTTAAAAATCTTCTTCTCAAGAACCACTGTGCCAGGAAATATGAAACTTATGGGTTAATATCCTCAGGTAGTGTAGATTCAAATTTGTTCAAATCATGACCCCCGGGGATAGGGCAGGGCCAAAGTGGCCGACCAAAATTTTACATAGAATTACTATAGGAAAATTCTTTAAAAATCTTCTTCTCAAGAATGACAAAGCCATAATTCATCATCGATATATATGGAAGCATGCTCAGGTAGTGTAGATTCAAGTTTGTTCGAATCATGACCCCCGGGGGTAGGGCGGGGCCAAAATGGCTGACCACAGTTTTACATAGAAATCTATAGGAAAATTCTTTAAAAATTTTTCTTCTGTCAAGAATGACAAAGACATAATTCATCAAATTCATATGGAAGCATGTTCAGGTAGTGTACATTCAAGTTTGTTCAAATCATGACCCCCGGGGGTAGGGCAGGGCCCCAATGGGCCGACCAAAATTTTACATAGAAATATATAGGAAATTTCTTTAAAAATCTTCTTCTCAAGAATGACAAAGCCATAATTCATCATATTGATATGGAAGCATGCTCAGATAGTGTAGATTCAAGTTTGTTCAAATCATGACTCCCGGGGGAAGGGGGGGGGGGGGGGGGCAAAATGGCCGACTTAAGTTTCACATAAAAATGTGGAGGAAAATTCTTTTATCATCATCTTCTCAAGAATGACAAAGCCATAATTCATCATATTGATATGGAAGCATGCTCAGATAGTGTAGATTCAAGTTTGTTAAAATCATGACCCCCGGGGGTAGGGCGGGGCCAAAATGGTCGTCCAAATTTTTACATAGAAATATATAGGAAAATTCTTTAAACATCATCTTCTCAAGAAATACAAAGCCATAATTCATCATAATTATATGGAAGCATGCTCAAGTAGTGTAGATTCACATTTGTTCAAATCATGACCCCCAGGGGTAGGGGGGCCAAAATGGTTGACCAAAGTTTTTAAAGATATATATAGGAAAATTCTTTAAAAATCATTTTCTAAAAAATAGCAAATCCATGATTGATCATGGGACTACTTTTTAGCTCACCTGAGCCGAAGGCTCAAGTGAGCTTTTCTGATCACATTTGTCCGGCGTCCGTCTGTCTGTCCGTCCGTCTGTCTGTCCGTAAACTTTTCACATTTTCGACTTCTTCTCAAGAACCGCTAGGCTTATTTCAACCAAACTTGCCACAAAGCATCCTTGGGTAAAGGGGATTCAAGTTTGTTCAAATGAAGGGCCACGCCCTTATTCAAGGGTAGATAATTGGGAATTAATGGAAATTTGGTGGCATATTTTAAAAATCTTCTTCTAAAGAACCACTATGCCAGGAAAGATGAAACTTATGGGGAAATATCCTCAGGTAGTGTAGATTCAAGTTTGTTCAAATAATGACCCCCGGGGGTTGGGCGGGGTCACAATGGCCGACCAAACTTTTACATAGAAATATATAGGAAAATTCTTTATAAATCTTCTCAAGGAATACAAAGCCATGATTGGTCATATTTATATGGAAGCATTCTCAGGTAGTGTAGATACAAGTTTGTTCAAATCATGACCCCCGGGGATAGCGGGGCCACAATGGCCGACCAAAGTTTTACATAGAAATATATAGGAAAATTCTTTAAAAATCTTCTCAAGAATAACAAAGCCATGATTGGTCATATTTATATGGAAGCATCCTCAGATAATGTAGATTCAGGTTTAATCAAATCATGACCCCCAGGGGTAGGGTGGCGCCACAATGGCCAACCAACGTTTTACATCGAAATATATAGGAAAATTCTTTAAAAATCTTCTTTTCTAGAATAACAAAGCCATGATTGTTCATATTTATATGGAAGCATCCCTAGGTAGTGTAGATTCAAGTTTGTTCAAATCATGACCCCCGGGGGTAAGGCGGGGCCACAATGGCCGACCAAAGTTTTACATAGAAATATATAGGAAAATTCTTTAAAAATCTTCTTCTCAAGAATAGCAAAGCCATAATTCATCATATTTATATGGAAGCATCCCCAGGTAGTGAAGATTCAAGTTTGTTCAAATCGTGACCCCCGAGGGTAGGGCGGGGCTACAATTGCCGACCGAAGTTTTACAATGAAATATAAAGAAATTTTTTTTAAAAATCTTCTTCTCAAGAAATACAAAGCCATGATTGGTAATATTTATATGAAAGCATGCTCAGGTAGTGTAGATTAGCGAATTTTGTTCAAATCATGACCCCCGGGGGTAGGGCGGGGCCACAATTGCCGACCAAAGTTTTAGTCAAAGATATAGAAAAATTCTTTAAAAATCATCTTCTCAAGAATAGTAAAGCCATGATTGGTCATGGGACTTATTTTGGATTAAAACTTTTCAATAATAAACCAATTTTCTACTATTTCCTAGCCACAGTGCTCAGGTGAGCGATGTGGCCCATATGGGCCTCTTGTTGATTTAAACTTTACAATAAAAACCATTTTCTACTTTTTCCTACCCTTAGTGCTCAGGTGAGCGATGTGGCCCATGGGCTTCTTGTTTAAATGTAGTTTTGATGGGTTTATGAATTTGATGTTTTAATTCCAGGGAAAGGGGAGAACTGCATGCAGCCCCAAACTTTGTAATACAGGGTGTACATCTTCTTTGTAAGATAAATAAAAATCAGGGATTTCCGGCAAAGAGTGTTAGAGGTCGCCAATTTAAGCATGACCTCATAAGGAAGACAAAAGAGACATTAAATTATTTATTAACAAATAATTATTTCATTATGTTAAAGGATTGGTGAAAAGTCCAAGCGAAATGAAAAGGGGGTGGTAGGGGGCAAAATTTTCACCCACCCACCCTGCTTGTTAGAGATCTGCGAATGCAGAAACTGGACGTACATCATTTTACTCTTACTATTAGTAAGGAGATCAGAGGTTAGGCACTGTGTTATATAGATACTATAACCTTACATGGAATAATAAAATCATAGATGAGACCACAGGTCACCTAACATAATCCATAAATGTTAAACTCTAATAAATCATATATCTTATAATATTGCAGTTAATGTTGCTCAGCAACCCCCCTCCCCCTCTTTGTTTTCTAATACCCACCACAGATGGTTATTCCCTTGACAAAAATAAATTTTCTGGGTTTTTTTTTACACTGAAAAGGCTTCACAGTATTCCGATTTATTTTATTTTCACTTTAGGAATGCAACTCACTACATTTTGTAGCGGAGTAAACAGACCCGATAGACGTGAACTGACGGTATTAAGGTCCTAGTTCTGCGTACATTTTATCCTTCTGCTGATGGAGTAGTAAATGCAATGCGTTGTGGGCTATTGTTCTGATGTTAATAGACATTTAATGAATTCCTATTTTTTAATGATTCATTAATTCATAAGTTTCTAAAAAGCAGGAATTGTACGACACACCTTCATCAACCAATGCGTCATAAAGAATTTAATGATTTATTAAGTTTGATAATTAATTAACTGTTGATACAACCGGATCTAGATGTTTCTGGATCATTCAAAATTATCGTAGGCTAATTCAAACAAATTTCAAATCATGGCACTGATTTGATATTTTGAATGATTCATCTATGGTATCTTTAAAATATAGACTTTACTATCAAATCTCATTTAGTGTTTGAAAAATTAAATAGACAAAAAGGTTTACAAAACCTTTGAGATTTGTGCATACAAATCTAGTTTAAATTCTAGTACGCTTAATTCGATAAAGCGTTTGTGTAAAAATTAAGGAGATCAACAGATACCTGCATATTGTTTTCAGACGATAAGAAATACACATTGATTACATCATTTTAAATAGTCGTATAGCAGACAAACCGGATCTCAGTTTACTTTTACTGGGGAGGCTTGCACGAATCACAATTTTCTGAAAAAATGTCTAAATTCAATGGAACATGGGTGGATAAAGAATTAGATCCAAGCTTTGATGCTTTTATGGATGCAATAGGTAAGTATATTTTTATAGGTTTTTTTTTGGTCAGAAAAATATTGTACAGATGAGTTTTCGGTTTAAACATAGAAGAATGTAACGATCGGACCTTCTATTACGAGTTGGTCGTAAAAAGATTGGAACAATTTAAAGCAAGCATTAAGTAAATTCTAAGGCCTTTTTAATAACCTAATTATTATAGTAAATACCACCTCTCAAACTGACATGAAATTTCTCATAGGATTTGAGTAGGATAATCTTTAAATAATAAGTAATTGCCATTTGCTGGTTGTGTATTACAGGACTGGGGGAATACAAGGAAAAATACAGGAACGCAAGGACAACAGTAACATACGAATTTAATGGAGAAAACTGGAAAATAACATGGCTCTCTTCGCTGTACCCCGACAAGCCCACGACGGTTAATATTCAAATCGGGAAAGAGTTTGACACAAAAGGTCCTGATGGATCGGATGTAAAGGTGAATTTATAACCTTTTTGTTGTGATTCTTGCTATTGACCAAAGAGAACTCATACCACATACTCATGGGCGTATCTTTGATTCAATACAAAACTTACCGCTAAAAATCCTAAAAAGTGTAAAGAATTTCTTTTTAAATTACAATATCTTTATAGAGGAAAAAAATATTTACTATATGGAAATACTTCATATATTATTTTCAAGTGATAACGTTTCCTTTACGCATTTAAGATCACTATCTTCACATTTTTTTTTCATTTTAATTTTATTAATATAACCTTTCATTAAAAATATTGACAGTGAACTTGATATTTTTAGTCGACATTCACCTTAATAAGCGACTGTGAGATCAAAGAACACGCCGTAACAAATACTGAAGACGGCAAAAACCGAGAATTCATAGTCACCAGAAAGGTTAATGGAGATGTTTTGGACTATGTAAGTTATTTACTTTGGAATATTAACTTTAAAGCTATTAATAAAGGACTTGATTATGTAAGTTCTTTAATTTGGAAAAATAGGTTAAAGATATTTATTGATCAGGTTGATAGAATTACCCTTAATTACCACCTGCATATGTTTTTTTTTTTATACATATCTCCTATTTAATTTGATAAACAAGAGCATGTTCTATATGAACATCAAACCTTCAGGCACTACAACAAAATGTATTGTATCGAATTACCAGTACCAACCGTTTTATGTTTCTTTTTTTCAGATGTTCGAGTAAATGATACGACTTTGTTAAAAGAAATGTATTTGCTTGTATTCGATTTATTATTTTTTTATATATATTATAGAAATGGTAGTTACATGCAGGAATCTTTGTTTTGCCCTTTTCCCCATTTATCTACACATTTTTTGTCTTTCAGACCACAGAGGCTATTCCCTCTAAGGCTAAAATGAAAGGGAGAATGTACAGAAAAAAGTAATGAAATGACACGGTTACTGTATTGGCTGAAATTTTAGAACTAAACAGGGTTTTTCTGAAAGTGTGCACTCATTAGTTACAGAAACTCATATTTGTGTGAAGGCATTGGAATAACATGAATAACGAAGGAAATCTTTTTGCTTCAGTTTGACTTCAAAAATAATTTTGTTAAATTGATAGATTATAATTTAAATGAATTAAAAAATGCATAAAATATATATCATACTTGTGTTATGTTGATTATTTCTACCGTAAGTGTAAACACAATATGTTCTCTGTATAAATGTTCAATGCCTATTCAGGCTGTATTTAACCCTTCAAGTGTCAATAGCGGGTCTCTTGATAGTAAATGTGAAAATCTAGAACACAAGGATTTCAAAATCAGCACATTTATTCAATACCCTGTGCAAATACATACCTTGAGTTTATCCTTGGAGGGCACCTAATGTAAAAATGTCAATAAAATTTTGCGGGATAAGCATTTAAATTATAAATTCGATGGTATTTAGCTCACCTGAGCCGAAGATTCAAGTGAGCTTTTCTGATCACAGTTTGTCCGATGTCCGTCCGTCTGTAAACTTTTCACATTTTCGACTTCTTCTCAAGAACAAATACGCCAATTTTAACCAAACTTGGTACAAAACATCCCTGGGTGGAGGGGAGTTTAAATTGTTAAAATGAAGGGCCAAGTCTCCTTACAAGGGGAGATAATCAAGAAAAGACAAAAATAGGGTGGGGTCACTAAAAAATCTTCTTCTTAAGAACCACTGGGCCAGGAAAGCTGACACTTATGTACCAGCATGGTTGTGTTGTGTTGGTATTAAATTGTGAAAATCATGACCCCTGGGGGTAGGGCGGGGCCACAATTGGGAATTCAAGTTTTACATAGAAATATGTAGAACAAATCTTTAAAAATCTTCTTATCAAGAACCACTGGGCCAGGAAAGCTGAAACATATGTGGAAGCATCCTTGGGTAGTGTAAATATTAAATTCTTAAAATCATGACCCCCGGGGGTAGGGCGGGGCCACAATTGGGAATACAAGTTTTACATAGAAATATATAGAACAAATCATTAAAAATCTTCTTCTCAAGAACCACTGGGCCAGGAAAGCTGAAACTTATATGGAAGCATCCTTGGGTAGTGTAGATATTAAATTGTTAAAATCATGACCCCCGGGGGTAGGGCGGGACCACAATAGGGAATCCAAATTTACATAGAAATATATAGAAAAAGTCTTTAAAAATCTTCTCAAGATCCACTGGTCCAGGAAAACTGAAACTTATGTGGAAGCATCCTTGGGTAGTGTAGATATTAAATTGTTAAAATCATGACCCCCTGGGGTAGGGCGGGGCCACAAAACATGGGAATAGCAACAGTTTTGAATGGAAATATATAGAACAAGTTTTTAAAAATTTTCTTCTCAAAAACCACTGGGCCAGGGAAACTTATTTGAAAGCATCCTTGGGTAGTGTAGATATTATATTGTTACAAGCATGACCCCTGGGGTTAGGGCGGGGCCATAATAGGGAATTCAAGATTTACTTAGAAATATATAGAACAAATCTTTAAAAATCTGCTTATCAAGATCCACTGGGCCAGGAAAATTGACACTTATTTGGAAGCATTCTTGGGTATGGTAGATATTAAATGTGATTCAGCTCCCCATTATGTTAAAAAATGAAGCCAAGCATGAGGACTGTTTAGGCATTTTGGACGAGTTTGAGGAGACACTTACTAATCTATTCATCGAATCTTATGGTACTATTTATTAAATATTAATGGTGGATAACATTTTATAGATCAACCAAGTCACTCATTTTTAACATCTGGTTTTATTAGTGTACTATTTAAAGTTTTGATTGCCATCATGAGTTCAAATAAATTTCCCTTAATTGGCTTAAAATGTAGAAGTAGGAATTTAATTATATATGATAACATAAGAAATAAACTGGAAAAACATGCATGTCCTTTTAATTACTCTATAGTTAGGCAAAAAAAAAATTTAATTTCTTGGTTCTCAGGCCCTCCCTCATCTCTTCCAAGGGTGCCTCATTGACCCTTTTTATTGCTAAATCAATAAGGCAAAAAAAAATTAATTTCTTGGTTCTCAGGCCCTCCCTCATCTCTTCCAAGGGTACCTCATTGACCCTTTTTATTGCTAAATCAATAAAATATAAACACCAAATCACCTCCCTCATCATTTTTTGAGGTTTTGTACAATGTAAAAAGCTGCCTCATCATGTTTTGGGGGCAATAAAAAAGAAAAAAAAATGCCTCCCTCCCTCATCATATTTCTTGAAAAAAGGCCTGAGAACCAAGTAATTAATTTTGCATGGCCATAGTAAAAATTTTTTTAAAAAGTTAATTTCTCCACTTAAAAATGCCTAGAAATCTAAATGTTTGTGACCTCAAAAATACAATATTTGCAACTAATCTACTTCCAAACTGTGATATTTTTTGTTAGTTCAGTTTATTATAATATAGCAATAACATATTCAGTGCATTTAAAGACTTTTATGCCCCTTTTGAAGAAGGAAGCGCATATTGCTTTGCTGCTGTCTGTCGGTCGATCGGTCTGTCAGTGCACCATCAGTTTTTGTTCATTTTCTTTGCAGAGGTTGAACAATTATAATTGAAATAAAATTTGGTATGCAGATTTATCATAAGAATATATAGGTCAAGTTTGAGCTGTTTTTAACAAAGCTATGCCCTTTGGACTCAGCAAAATTTCAGTTATTTGGGGGAGGGTGCATAAGTTTTACAAACATCTCGTTTAAAATTCAAATGAATTATGGGGTAAAAGAATGCACATTCCATGTACAATCGTAGTTCTTAGTGGATGCAAGCATTAATGTTATTTGATCTACTGGTCGAAGAGCTTATAATAAGGTGTCCGTCCGTCTGTCTGTAAACATTTTTTTCAAAATGCTACTCCTCCTACAGTTTCAATATATCTTGGCACACATACACTAAGATACATAATTGTGTGCATCCTTGTTTGATTTCAATGAACGATGTTGCCATCATGATGGTTCCTAAAAATAGAAATTTCTTTGAAATATTTTCAAAATGTTACTCCTCCTACAGTTTTGGGCTGATTTCAATATCATTTGGCACAGAAGTAGACTTCACTTAGATACTTGATTCTTTTTATGGGTTTTTTATTTTGATGAACGATGTTGCTATTTTACTTTTTTATTCGACACTTATTTTAGGTTTTCCAAAGCAAAACATGGACATTGCCATTTTATGTTTACCTATGAATTTACATATAGAAGCTTCTAGATAACATTTTATTGGACGAGTTATTCCTCTTTACACATTACCGTAAAACAATATATTGCAACACATGGACTTTATAGGAGGCGGGGGGTATCATTTAGTGAGCTCATTGCTCACAGTACCTCTAGTTTATTTTGCATAAGGTTTTGGAAAACAAAATGTAACATTTGAACATAAATGTGTTGTTCCTTGAGTGTTGATTGATTTATTGTATATTGTTTAACGCCGAGTCGGCAGTTTTTCAGCCATATTTCGGCGGACTATTGTGGTTTCTCTGTGCCGGCCCCCAGTAAGCTTACTCTTTTCAAACTCCAGATAGTTATGTCCATATCCATCTTTTCACGTGCCAAGGGGGTTGTCGTCCTTGACACGGGGCACAATTTAACTTGAGTGTTGAAATATCCAAATTCCGAAGACAGACTGAAACATATAGCAAATAAACCTGGAATAGAAGATGTTAAGGGATAATACTAAGTTCTTATCAGTGCTAATTTCAAAAGCTAGTACAAAGTGTTCGATGAAATCGGAAAAGAATTTCTTCAGTTATATTTGATGGTGTGCTGCGGAATGTTGAAGTAGAAGTGCGAGTTGATAATGACAGCGATTCAGGAGTGATTTTAAGTGGACGGGGGCTCAAAGGCCTTGGAACACGGTCAAATACGAGGGGGAAATTTGGAAACCCTTAAGTCGAGTTTGATTTAACTATTTCAAGAAAAAATGAAACATTTCTAGTATTTTTTGTTTGTTCGTATTAAATGGACAAATCAATATACTATATATACTACATATAAAAAAAACCAAATACTTTATTTTATGCAAAACAATCAAAATTAAGCAGTTTGAGTATTTTACTGAAAATTTAGTGAATATAGTTGTACTTCACTCAGTAAGATATTCAGAAATCCTTTCTCCTACTGTAACGACATTAAGAAATAATTTGAAAAAAAGAATATCCGCCATTTTAAATAGCCATATTGACTTTTAACTTACATCTCCACAATCATTCAATTGTAGAATAGTGAGATGCAGTGGAAAAAATACAAATCTGCAGTGTATGGATATTTGTAAATGTAAAATCCTAGAACGAAGAAGAATATAGAGACAATAGACAAATAAATCAGAGAAATTTCCAATTATGTGCAGAAACGACTAAATTTTCTGAGTTATAACCAATAATGTTAGCATTCTATTATCATTTTTATAGTTTTATTACACTCAGTGAGATATTCACTCATTACTTTTCCATTTTGAACGATATTAAGAGAAAAATAGAAAAATTGGATGTCCGCCATTTTGAATCGCCATTTTGACCTCTTTAACGCCATTTTCATGAAGGCCAGCATATTTTCTCGGATTCAGCATACTCGAAATATGTTAAATAATTATGCTGGACCAAATAATAATTATTTGCCGTTAGAAGTATTTTTTTCTATAAATCGGACTAGACTATAAAAAGCCAAGTCTTTGGCGTGCCAGTCCCTCCCCTTGACCTTTGGCAGTTTTTAAAAGAAAAAAATGTATATACTCTCAAATTGGTCCGTTCAAATAACATTCATAATTAAAGGATGATAAAGTAAAACATATATTCAAACACAAACGACTTTAGTTACTATGTAAAATGAAAATACATGTATTTGGGATAATCTGGCGTTAATAGGAAGAATGCCGAAGAGAAACTATCTCAAGCGCTGGAAATGATGAATCAGTTATAAATAAAAGGA